CACAGAGACATGCACACACATAACCTTGTCTCATTATCATCTCGCATTATTCACCCACTTGCCTGACCTCTGCATCTGTCATTAAAATTCTGTTACTCCACACCTCACATAAGTATCATCTCCTCTGCAGGTGCCTTAGAATAACCCTCTCTGACCCCTCCTCTGGTGCCTACTGGACCACAGAGAGGGCAACTGCACAATGCCTGTCCTTATTTGCCTACTGACTGCAAAGTGCTTCAAGGACAGGGCCCAGGTCTGAGCCACTGTTGCCTCCACAGCGATTGCTGCATTATCTGGGCCACAGTAAACTTTTATATAATGGATAAAATAATGGACAAATGAAGTTAATAAAATTCCTATATAAATAATTCATGGGAAGACGAACATTGCTGTAAACCATTAACTCGTGTGTATGAATGTAATTAACCCCAAGAGGTCACTGCTAAGCGTGACTATGGGACCAGTCTCCCAGACTGGGCCACAGACAGTCTCTGGCTGCACACACCACAGGAAACCTGCGACATCTGCCTGCAGCCATTCGACCACTTCCCTGAGACACCATTGACCTGTGGTGGAAAATGAACCTGCGAATCCAGGTGGTGGATTTTCCTGTGTGTACATGCAGCCCCCTCCTGACAGGGTGTAGAACCCATCCACCTCCTGAAACAATGTCCCTGTGTGTCCTTCAAAGTCAGCCACCCAGAGCAACATCCCCAGGCCACATGGGCTGTCCCTGAGGGAGGTGAAATGTCAATTGTGGTCTGAATGCCTCTCTAGGGGTTGCAAAGGTACAGGGGATATCCCTGCCCAACTTCACTTAGTGACAAAGCCAGAGACTCCTCCCCCAGAGCCAGCTCTTGGTTGAAATGGTTTGGGGAGGGAAGGACACTAGGTGGGTCCTGCAGTTCCCAGAATTTCTATTCTCTGGTGCCTTATGGTGGAGCTGGCTCAGGGAATTTGCTGAATGATGAAATATCAGTAAATGCAGTCCCTCTGGGCTCCTGTCTGTGCCTGTCTCCTGTCCAGGACCGTCACACCCACCTCAGTCACAATTGTTGTTTTTGTGTTATTTCCTCACATCTGAAACCCAAAGAAAAAGTACACAAATTAAGTCATTTGGTTTCACAGATTCAGTAAGTACCAGGAGTCCTTCTAAAACTTGAAGAAATTCTTGGAAATTGGTGTTGTTGAACATTAGTCCCCAGGAAACTTCTAGGCTTGGCAAGAATTCAGAAGTGATGGGAACATTTGTTGACATTAACCACTTAACAGTGACTCATCAGTGTCATGGTAGGAAGGTCCAGTGTCAAAGTCAACGTCGTAGCCCCTCATGAGCCTAATGCCCAGTCACGTATCTGGATCACCAAGTTGTAGGGCATGTAAATCCTGCAGGATTGCACCCAACAGGAAGACAAGATGTGCACTAGGTGGTGACGTCATGGCTCTGCACACGCAGGGTCGATCGTTCTGAGCCACAGCACTGTATTGTCGGACAGGAATCGGGTGCATACGAAGAAACCTCACCACCCGAGCACAGACAGGGCTCTGCTATGCTCAGGGAAGGCTGTTCCTGGTCAGCCTTTTCTTTCTGAACTCCCTTCTCTTAAGAAAGATCTCCAGTCTTGATCTACACCTGCTCAGACTTGGCATGTACTGAACCCTGTGATCGGCTCTCTGCACCACCTTCTCAGTTTGAGCTCCCGTGGAAGGATGGACCCCGTGTCCAAGGGGTGTCATAGGCCACTTTCTCCAGGAGCATCTCTGCACAGGGAGGGGACCTGCCCGAGCTCAGCAGATGCGTGGGTCAGGCTGTCCAGCACTCTTCACTGCCCCATGGTCACTTTCACTGTGCTGGAACCACAATAAGCACCCACCACATCGGCCTATGAGGAAAACTGTGGTGGGTCCAGTCTGTTATCAGGTGGCCACTGGCCTCGAGGCCCGGGCGGCATGACACACCAAGGCTGCAGCAGGTGGCAGAGAGCCACACCCTCCTGGTGGGGAAGCAAGAGAGTGAGAAGGGTCTGGGGTCTGTGTCCCTTCAGAGGCAGGCCCCAGGACCAAAGGCTGGCACCTCCCAATGGCATGCTGTAGGGACAGGATCCAAAGCCTAGCATGGAGAAGTCAACGGTGGGTGAGGGTGTGATGTCACAGGGCAAAATGAAAAGGCTTTTGAAATGCAATGTTTTTGTCGTTGTTGTTTTTTTACTTATTTATGAAGTAAAAACAAGCATTTTGACCACACCAGGGAAGAACAAATTCGAATGTCAACCCAGAAGTCATGTGTGGTCATACCTGGTGGAGTGCATTGTGGGTCCTTCACTTGGGCACCAGCCACCAGTAGAGTGGGCAGTGCTTGGGCCCACAGTCGCCGTGCCCTGAATTACAGGCAACATATAAAACACTCGGCTGTGACCGAGACCCTCAACCCCACAGGTCTTCCAGGGTCTCTGGACCTAGCACAGCGCACGGGGGTGGGGTGGGCATGAGTGGGTACCTGGGTGTGTGTTCACAATTTGGGGAGTAAAAACAGACAGGATTCACCAAATTTTAAGACAATGTACTCAAAGTGACAGAAGCTCTAATCATGGAGGCCTTCAGGGCGATTTGGTCTCTGATGGGGAAATGCGTGCAATTTTCTCAGGGATGGCTTGGACAAATCAGCTGACTATGAATCAGGCCAGAAGAAACCCTGGAGAGGCAGGAAAGTGGCCCCAGTGGCTGGGGCATTTCTGGGGTGGAGAGGGATGTCCTCCCCACTCCTTGACTCACCGGGGCCAGGTGTCCTGGCGTGGAGGACCCTGATGCTGTCCCTGCCCATAGGATTCCTGGGTTGACATTTCTGCTCCCTGCACCTCCACGCTCTTCCCTCTAAGACTGCCCACCGCAGCTCTGTGAGGACTCCGTGTCACATGTCCCTCCCCAAGGTGCCAGTCACCAGGCTGTGCTATGCACCCTGGCCGTCCCTCCAGGACTACTAACCATGCTCCCTGTCCTGAGTGAACCCCCACTCTGAGACTGCCCTCCAGGATCTGCCCTAAGGTTTTTCTTGCAACCCTCAAAGGCTACGCTTGTTGGTCCCTCTTGATGTCTAAGCAGATGAGATGAACCACAGAGAGCAGCCCCACAAGCCTGCTGCAGAAAGAAGGGCCATCACTCACTGCTCTCATGCAATAAAGGGTCTTTTTCCCACTTATATTTTGAAGTCGAGACTTTTCTCCTTAAGCAATTTAGTGAGGCCCTGCCTCAAATACTAAAAATCAAAAGGGTGAGGATATGGCTCAATGGTGATGCATTTCTAATGAAAAAAAAAAAGATAGTGAACACAAGCCAGATGATGTTTAGCTTATTGTGTCCAAAACAAAACAAAGCTCCTTCTTAAGTTGTATTGATATAATGAAATAAATAATCATACCTATGGAAATCTCATTGACCAAGACCATGCACTTCAAGTAAAGATTGCAAGAAAGAAGAATAATGTGTAATTTTTACAATTGCTCTGAGAGAGTGAAGTGAAACTTAGAGAATGATATAGTTAACACAAGAAATCAGTGAACCAAGTAGGAAATAAAAGAAGGCGTCACACAGAGTCTAGCTATACCAAATTGGAACAAGTAGTCTTAGTAGCAAAGCTCTGCTTTTCCCCATTTTTAAAAATGAGAGATGCTGTGTATAGACACAATAGATTACATTTGCATACTCCAGAAATATCATTTCCTCCCTTATTATTTATTAATTTATTTATTTTGTCCTGGGGTTTGAGCCCAATACCTCACACATGTTAAGCTCACCTTCTACCATTCTTCTGCATCCCAAGCCCCTGGGAATTTTTTTCTATAATGCCAGAGGCAGAAATTTCTGATCCAGAATTAATAGGAATAAGATTGAGTCAAGAAGTATGAATACACGAAGAAAGCTTTAATGGGTAGTAGATATGAGATTATCTCAAGGAAAGGGAAGGCAGCTCTGATAGACAGATAAGGCTGCTCCCCTAAGGAAGGTGTCAATTCTTATTGAGTTGCTCATGTGGGCTTGTGTCTGGGAATTCTCTACTGAGTGTAAGTGTGGTATTTTTCAAGGAATATCTTCCACGTGGACATTAGAAATCACTAATTGTTTATTTATCATTTTCTTTTCTTGGAAAATTCATGGTAACAATATTTTGTTTTTTTATGGTGTACCTGCTCTGCTATAAGATTGTTGGAAAATGTGACAGAAAAGGAGATAAGAAAAAGGAAAAAAAATGTATGCCAGTTTTAAGGAATGGATGGTTAGGGACTTAAGCCCTCTGGTGTTTCCCCATCATTTCTGCATACCTTTCTTTTAATGGATGAGAGGTCAGAGGCTAAGACCTTGAAATGTTTTGTCTTCTGTTCCCATGGTGGTTCCGAACTGTTCATCATCACCTTTATTCTGTATGTTTTAAATTTCACCTAAGATAGAATATGTTAATATAATCATTACCATATTATCCCAAATGAGAGAGCAAAAGGGAAATCAAGAATAAATTAAAAATTTTCCAATACTGAAAAAAATGTAGTGCCTGTATTTTTTTTGTCATGTTCTTCTTAAACAGGAAAGAAATTGAAGAGATTTATTGCCCATTTATCTTTGGAAAGTGTCCAAGGATAGTTTTTGCTTCCTGTATGGAGAAAGGAGAATAACTGTAATTTTCCTAATTATGTAAGGTGCCACAAGTAAAAAGGTAGCAAGCATCAGCTCATATCCCTGTGGGAACATCAGCATCTGTGAGAGTTTGCACAGTTCTTATATTAGTATGCTTCTCGACGTGGAAGAGCAAGCTTGATATTCTATTTTGGATCTGAGAGAATGTTTCAAATTTATTAGTGGCATTCTGAAAATGCCTCTCAATCACCTAAGCATTGTTGAGTACTTTTAAGAAATCTAAAAGAATGCCCACAAGATAGATTTTAGAAAAGTAGATCTGACAAAGGAATTCAAAGTAGAGGAATTCAAAGTTTCTCTTCTTCTTGACTGTATCATGATATTTTTTAGATGTTTGCAAGAGGGTGATATGAACTCCATATATTGTATTTGAAAATGTATTGTGGAGATTGCAGGTAATTTTTTAAAATAACACATAGTAGTGAAAAAGGAAAAAAAAGATATAATTTATATTCTGTTCTCAGAAGATGAACTATGTTTCTATGTCATGTTTGAAACTGAAAGGGAAGGACTTAGAACTTTGGAGAAGCCTATCTTCATTTCAAACTAAAAAAGAGAATATATAACTTGCAGAGAGAGTCAAGCATTTATCCCCATTATTGTAAAACTGCAACAAATGAAGAATTCTACTTTAAATTTTAGACAATACTCAGAGAAATAGGTAAATATATCTCTTATATGTAGATGTATATATTTGGGTGTGCTATTTTACTTTATATGTGCATATATGATTATCCCACAGTGAATTTCACCTTTATGTGTATTTACAAAACTCTAATCAAAAACTTCTATAAATAAATAGAAGAAAGATCAGAAGAATATAGGACAGGAATCAGAGAGAGGTAGGAGGATATAAATACTGGAAAATGAAATGTAGCACATTATATTCCATGGTACTGGGAAATGAAATATAGCCCATTATATTCCATGCATGAGCTTGTCATAATGAACCCTAATAGTAATGCAAACTATAATGTACTAATAAAACACTACATATATTTATATATTTGTATTTATAATATTTATACTATATATTTTATATATTCATATATTTATATAATTTTATATTTATATCTCTTTTATATACCTACTTTTATGAGAATCTATATCTTTATAGACTAGATATATGTGAGTGTGTATACATATGTATATGTGTGTGTGTCTCTGTGTGTGTGTGTGTGTGTGTGTGTAGGAAAAATTGGAGGAAGTATACAGGTTTAGGAAAATTAGTCTATAGGGGGAATGACTGAAAATTGTGTAGAATTAAGTGAACACTGATGGGCCATAGACTCTGAATAGATAGAGAAGAAAGATATATCAGGTAAATTGTTTTTGCTGCAAGAAATATAAAACATAACTACAATGAGTTAAATAAATAGAGATTCATCTATCTTATACAGCAAGAATTCAAGCAGATTACAGATTCTGTTTAGTGGTTCAGTAATAGAAGGGTCTATTCTGACAACAAGAATTCTGTTGAATCTCCTGCCATTATTTTACTATTGAAAGGGGGAAGGAGGAGACTACCACATCTGCATCCCTGTAATTTTATTTGGGTAGTTCAATAAACTCTCCTGGAGATTTCTCCAGTAGACAGCAAATGATAGTGATCAGAAATGGTAATATAAATATGTAAATATAGATCCTGAATAAAGAGGCTAATGATAGTGAAATATGGCATTGCAGAGATTAATCTTAAGCAATTATGGTCATAAACACAAAAATTGAGGCTATATTAGCAGGAAAGGCAGAAGGAAGAATAATGAATTGAAAAAAATTAGCTAAATATCTTAGAAGATGTTGTAATATTAGAATAAATATGGAAATAGATAAACTGGATTAAGTGGTAGGAAGGTCTTCCTCCAAGATAGGAAGTGAACAGAAATGGAAGGTGAAAATTATGATCTATTTATTGGTGAAAGGTTAGGTTTAAAGATAATTAATGTCAACTTCTCTTTGATTTCCAAGAATTTAAAAGGAATTACAGTAATTGGAAAGATATTAAAAAAAAGATAACGAAGACATTTTGTTTGGAAGAAATGTGTGCAACTTAATCTTAAGGTTAGCGTTAAATTATTTGATGAGAAGAGTAGATTTTCTTTAGTAATCACACATATATTAGAGTTGACAAAATTTTGTCTCTCCTATGGCTCTGCAATCCTCTTCCCACCAAGTGAAAGAAAAGGAGATATCTTTGTGGAAAACATTTCAAATATTTGCGTCCAAATATTTTATTTTCTGCAAATAATATGATTTTTAGTGCAGGGTTTTTAACACTACTGAGTTTTTGGTTGAATAAATCTGTGTCGTGGGGACTAGAATCCTGTGCATTATAGAACATTTAATATCATCCCTGGCCTCTGATAGCAATTGTTGACCTGTATTAACTGGATGGACATAGTAACTTTCACAATCAGAAATGTCTTTAGATATTGCTAATGCCTGGGAGAAGGCAAAAAGTCCTTTGTTGAGAACCAGTTTTTGCATGTTTCTCTCTAAATGGGCTCATATGATTTATATTCAGTCTCTGTATGTACATATTTGTGTGTGTGTGTATATATATATATATATATACACACACACACACACACACATATGCATTTATATAATATACAATATATGCTAATGTGTGTTATTATAATATTTTAAGCAAATTAATGTTCTCTGGCCCAGCAAAAAAGCAAGAACCAGGATGTTTGATATACAAAGAGATTCTAGGGCTCCACTCTGATTTACTGCATAAGAATATGAATTTTAACAAGATCTAGAAGGAATTTATAAGCACATAACAGTCTGAAAGGCACTGATCTATAGTATAGCAACAGACATGCAACCATTCTGTCCCCAACCCATCTATAGCATGTCTAGTGCACTTGACAGACAGCTGCTAGATTAATCCACTGGTAATTCCTCAGTGCCCACAGAATAAAAGTTGAATGGTTTAATCTACCTAATTTTTGAAGCTTTTTATGATCTGCTTTCTCAGTAAGTTTAACATGATTCCATAAATATCTCATTTGAAATGCCACATTCCAATCAAATTCTATTTGTGTCTTGTGTGTGCTATGATGTTCTATTAAAATAGCATCCATAATTGCAGGCATTCTAATAAAAATCCTACCTTTTACAAAACTCTCCACTTACTGTACACCTAAACTATTCTTCCTTTACTTCACGTATTCATTTTGTTCATTTGTGTAGTAGAAGATAAAGCAGAGTGTTCTGGACAAAAGGGAAGTGTTAAAATGTAACTTTGCCACTGGACAAGATCTTGGCAAGGTAATTAATTTCTCTTAGACTCAGCTGTCATATTTATCAATTGGGTTTACTATAAGTACTTTCATCAAGAGTTGTTTTGACAATTAAATGAGAAATGGATATAAGTACTGACATAATGAAATCACAGAACAAATAACAGTCATTGCCATTATTGATAGTAATGATAAAAGTAAAAAAATAATTCATATGCTTCATTAAAAATTAATACATAAGCATGAAAAGTAAAAAGTAATACATTTTATATTGTCCAGTGATTTCATTCAATAACAGAAACTACTATTAAATATTAATATTAACTACAATTTACATATTAATTTAGAAGTATCTAATTCATTTTTGTATCCGCATGTATTATTTATACTGGTATTTCCAGCAAACATTATAAGCAATTAAAAATATTTGGTGCTGAATGAATTTAAGTATATGCCCTAATTTTACTACCATATAATGAGAATCTAAAACTCAAAATCTATGTCCAAAACCTTTTGGTATCTTTAGAGCAGCAAAAATAGTGTTTTACTATAACAGAAGTTCAAGAAATATTTGCTTTATATATGCAGGATTGACAAATCAGTTAAATGTGGAGAGCTATTTAAATTAATAGGTGTTTGAAACCCCAAGGACAAACTCTACCCCAGAAAAATCAGTCTATTTGTGTTTATTTCTCACTCTTTACTCCTTCCAATGATGAAAAACATGTTATCCCTACAACTAGGTAGCTTATACTACAAACTTAACAAAATATTTTTTCTTTAGCCATCTGCTTTTACATTTACCACAAATGGAAACTTAATATTACAGAATAAACAGTCATCTTAGAAGAGAGCTATTTGCATCTCCAAATGTCCTCTGGTTATGGATCCCAATTAAATCAACTTCCTTTAAGAATGCACACATTATTGATAATATGTCATAATTATTTTCATCACAAGAATCACTTGCTATTTTCCAGTTGACAGGATACTATTTAACTTTTCTCAGTTTGAAATGTCAATTAGCACTTGCTCTAGCATTATGTGAAACTACAGAATGACTTTCTATTAAAGACAGATAATTTTGAGGTCTGCTTCAAAGTGTGTTATTATTTTCATTTTAAAAAAGCTAACTACATTGTTGTTTTCAAGAATCGGAGATGGAACCTGAAATTTTAGATGTAAAAAAAATGTCCATAATTATTCCACTTATCTTAGGAAATGAGCTATTTCCTTTAGTCCTGTTTAGTACCTGTACTCAAAGCATTATGTTCTGTCTTGGCATTAAATAAATTATATTCACAGAGCTAAAGAGTTTTAGCTTCACCAGAACAGATGGTTTCTAAAGGGAAACACATAGCAACTTTTTAGCTTAATCTCTGAGAAAGTGGCTTTTTTCTCTTCAGGAGGTAATACCTAAGACCATTTGTGTAGGAGAAATATGAAATAGAAGAATTTTCTTCCCCTTTGCCCACATCAATTCCAAACCTAATTCT